CCCACCCTGTGTCCCGGCCCTGAACCTAGGCAGAAGGATCATAAGAAAGGCAAAAATCTGTTTGAATTTAATCTGTTGACTACTGTAAAAGACAATAAAATGTCTTTGCTAGAAGAGATTAGGAACACAGAAGTGCCAAGTAAAATCTCCCTTCTTTAACAATGCAGGGGTGAGGGGAAAATGGTCACAAGGGACGAGGAAAAGGCTGAGGTACAGAATGCCTTGTTTTTCTCAGCTTTCAGGAGTCAGATGGGTTATCGGGAGGACAAGCAGTCCCCTGAGCTGGCACACAGGGACAGGGAGCAGACCTGACCCCCTGCAATGCTAGCGGAAGTTGTTGGTGACCTGCAGAGCCACTGGGTCCCTGACAAGTCTATGGGGCTGCCCAGAGTCCCCCAGGGGTGCTGAGGGAGCCCATGGAAGAGCTTGCCAAGCAACTCTCCCATCCTTTATTGTCATCATTCCTGGCCAGTCGGGGAGGTCCCAGGTGACTGGAGGTGCCAATGGGACACCCATGCCCAGGAAGGGCTGCAGGGAGGATGTGAGGAACTGCAGGCCTGTCAGCCCGACCTCGGGGCCTGGCGAGGTTCTGGAGCAGATCATCATGAGGGGGATCACACGGCCCAGAGAGGACAACTGAGGGATCAGGCCCAGCCAATGTGGGTTTAGGAAAGACAGGTCCTTTAGGTTTAGTGTGAGCAACCTGATCTCCTTTGGGCTGTGGGTGATGTCTCTTGGGGCTGAGGGAAAAGCTGTGGATGGAGTCTCCCTGGACTTCAGGCAAGTCTTTGATTCTGTATCCCACAGCACAGTCCTGGAAAAGCTGACAGCCCAGGGCTTGGGCAGGGGCACTCCTTGCTGGCTTAGGAACTGGATGGCCATGTCCAGAGAGTGGTGGGGAATGGTGCCATGTCCAGTTGGTGTCTGGTCATTAGCAGTGTTCCCTGTGGCCAGTCCTGTTCAGTGTCTGTCCTGCTGATGTGGCCAAGGGCATTGAGGGTACCCTCAGTATTAAAATCCTGACAACACCAAGGTGGGTGGGAGTGTTAATTTTCTAGAGGGTAGGAAAGCTCTGCAAGTGGATGTAGCCAGGCTGGATGGATGGTGTGAGGCCATCAGGATGAGGTTCAAGAAGAGCAAAGTCTTGGTCCTGCCCATGTGTCCCAAGAAGCCCCTGCAGTGCCCCAGGCTGGGGGCAGATTAGCTGGAAAGCTGCCCAGGCAGGAAGGGCCCTGGGGGTGCTGGCTGACAGTGGCTGAACATGAGCCGCGTGTGCCCAGGTGGGTAAGGGGCCGGTGGCCTCCTGACCTTCTGTGTCAGCAACAGCGTGGCCAGCAGGACCAGGGCAGTGATTGTCCCTTTGTGCTGGGCCCTGGGGGAGGCCACACCTCCATTTCTTGGGTTAATTTTTGGCCCCACATGACAAGAAGCACATTGAGGTCCTGGAGCTTGTCCAGAGAAGGGGAAGGGTCTTGAGCACGAGTCTGATGAGGAGCAGCTGAAGGAGCTGGGGGGCTCAGCCTGCAGTAAATGAAGATCATGGGGGCCCTCATTGCTCTCTACCCTTGACAGGAGTCTAGAGACAGGTGGGGCTCATTTTTTCTGCCATGTCTCAATTGAAAGGATGAGAGGCAATGACCTTAAATTGCAGCAGGGGAGGTTCAGATTATGCATTTAGAAAAAACAAAATGAAACAAAATGAAACAAAACAAAACAAAAAACTCCACTGAAAATATGGCTAGGCATTAGATTAAGTCATCCAGGGAGGTGTTGGAGCCACCATCCCTGGGAGTTTCCAAGAGGCACTGGATGTGGCACCTGAGGATATGGGTTGTAAGTGATTTTGGTGGTGCTGGTTTGATGCTTGTACTGGGTGGTCTTGGAGGTGTCTTCTAACCTCGATGATTCTGTGACCCACTGCAATGTCCAGAGGGTGGGAAGGCTCAATGGGAAGATGATTTCCTCTCGTGGTTATTTGTGATTCACCTATTGAGGCACAAGGTTATATTTAGTCTACAAAGTGCAGTGCCCTGTCACTGCTGAAGTTTTTGTGGCTTCAAAAGCTTCAGCCAATGGAATGACCTGAATATCCTCTCTAAACAGGGGCATTGCAATGCAGTTGCATGTTCTGCCTCTTCAACTTGCTGGAGAAAATATGTTCCTTCCATTAGAGAGTGAATGCAACATTTGGATATTCTGCCCAGGAGTAAAAAGTCATCATGCTGCATCCCTGTTGCTTTGAAAGCACTGCTCTCAAAGAAAGAAAAACTTTCTAAAAGCATAAAAAAATATGATTTTTTTTTTTTTTTTAATGCTACAGCCCAAGTGACACTAATGAATGTGTCTAGATGGCACTTGAAAAAGCCGGATAGGTACCACTTAATTTATTTCTGCTAAAACTATCCAGAACCTGATGTCCTGGTTAAAATGACAGCAAGTTGAAGTATTGGAAAACTACTTTTTTATAATCTGGTGCAGGTCTTACTGTCAAAATCAGCTCTTAATAGAAACTGAAGAGCTACCCTGCACAATATTAATCAGGTGAACTTTAAAATTTATGAGTTATGACTTTAAAATACAGAGAGTTTGTAAGGACATTTTTCTAGGGGACTGGGATATGGGTTTGTGTTAGATTCTCAGCGATTAAACCTTCTTTTTATCTGCATAAGAGAAAGAGCAAAGATGGATTTCTATAATTATTCCTCTGAAAATACATTTTAAGCAGGAAAGAGATAGCAAGTTATCTTTCACTGTTTCTGCTGATTCCCAGCTCAGAGTGTTGGCTTTGGTCAGACACTCAGATCCAAACTGAGGTCACAAATCCCATTTTTATGCCCCAACAAATGCTTACACAACTGAATTTTTAATAAGGGTTTCAGAACTGGAAGGGGCAAGCCAAGCCAAATCCCTCCATCCCTGTAGGCACCACATCACCTATGCTGATGCTTCTGGCCACATTAGGAGTTCCCAAATGTAAAATATCTCCACCCCCGTCCCCTGGCAGGGCACTGAAATTGCTTTGGATGAACTTGGGTAGGATGCAGCTGCTCCTGTTAGAGCTGTGTTTCAGGAAACAGATTCTCACTTGCTGTATCTGCCCCAAAGTAATGTGCTTAGCCTAAGTTCATGATTTAGGCTCCCTTTGTAGCTGCTGCACTGACAGATTCAGCACCAGAATTGCCCATTCTGAGGCAGAGCTGTGATGTCTCTAATAAAGGAAGTTTAGACATCTGGCTCAGATTAAGCATTCAGCTTTTAGATAGTTAAGTTAGGTGAAAGAAAATTCAGCTACACTATGAGCCAGAAAAGTTGCTGACAACAAGGATTAGGCATGTCAAACTCAAGACATGCAACTTAAACAAAGAAGATCTTCTTTTGGAAGGGTTCCTACAGAAAAAAAATACAAGATACTGTCCTTTGTGGAGGAAGATAGAGGGGGAAAAGCAATATGTGAGAGCTCTTTTCCCTGGGCAGTTAAAATCCAGAGTCAAAGGTAAAACAAACCATTTATATTTCTGTCAGCTTCCCTGGTTTATTGTGTGCAAAAGCTTTTGGAAGTCAACAGAAAGGTCAACCAGCAGGGTGGAAATTTTATTAAAAATATTTAGGCTGGCTTTTATTGCCAAATATAAATGGAAACCAATTAGATAATCAAACTAAAAGTAGGCAAAGGAGTGGCATTAACACTCACAGAATGTAATGATCATTGCTAAGGACGGGTTTTGTCCAGTTACTTGCCTTTGGTGGTGGTGGCAGGGGGAAATCAATTATGTTTCACCTTTTAACTGCCTTTTAAAGCCTTGCAAAATTGATTTCATACTGCATAAAAGATCCAGCAATAAAAACAAGGGAAAAGTGGATAATAAAGGATAATGTAAACGACCTGAAAATGCTGGTCTGCAATAAGACCCCAAAATCCCACAAAATAACCAGGGTGCCTTTCTACATGGGAAAATCGATTAAATGGGTACTGCTCCACTGCAGTCATGAGTGCAGAACAAAATTATTGTGGCAAAGCTTTGTATCCATGTGGTGAGAGGTGTGATTCCTTCAGCACAGTCCCCCCATGGAAGACTTGGCATTTGAATTTGCAACAAAAGAGCAATTAATATCTTCAGCTCCTGACCACACAAGTCCAAGTCACAGCAGCCAGGCCATCACAAGGTTGTGACTGAATCATTGAATCAGAGAATGGTTTGGGTTAGAAGGAACTTAAAAGTTCATCCAGTTCAAACCCCCTGCTCTGGGCAGGGACACCGTCCACTAGACCAGGCTGCTCAAAACCCATCCAAACTGGCCTCAAACACTTCCAGGGATGGGGTGTCAACTTCTCTCATCAACCTATTCAAGGGCTTCATCATGCTCACAAGAAATAGTTTCTTCTCAGCATCTAATCTGAACCGACTCTTTTCCAGATTAAAGACATGATACACATTGGGTTAGTCCTCTGGATACCCATCTTCTGCATTTTGTGCACAGGTAAAGGTAGCCAAGATGAGTGAGGTTCAGGACCAGGTAGGTTCCTCCCATCCATCTGTGAGGCTGCTGTGACACAGTGACCCCAGGTCCAGCAGCAACACAGTTGAACGTGTCCCCAAAAAGTGCACACACAAATGCACGCACAAACAGCCACAGAGAAGAACACAGGGAGCACCTCATAGACTCACACAGCACTCACACAAAGATGAACAGCACAGTCACCACATTGCCTTCCTCCTCCCCAGCTATCTGGGGTTGAAGTTGCTACAGGAATAGACACAGTAGGGATTTTTCCAGCAGCTGGTTTAAGACAGGTTTTGGAACAGCTGGCCTTGAGGTCCCAGTTCTTGCCTGAGGCTTTTACCAGGGCTCTCAGACCCCTGGTGGCTCCAGCCTGGCACCAGACCACCCATCCTGCTCACAGGATTGCAGCCTGTCACCTTTATGTGCTGGCTCACAATAGTGAGTTCACTTGCACAGGAGAAAACACCAAGATTTAGGAGTAAAACAGAGTAGATTGTGGTGGAGGGTTCAGCCAGACAAACATCCATCCTGCCCAGCTTGCCCATGTTATAGGTGACAATATAATATTGCTTTTCACATTTATAAATTAACTTTTTGTTTCACAAGTATTTTGATCTAGTACAATTTATACTTACTTTTAATTGCTTTCATATGTATAATCTCTCAGTTTACATATACACTGTATAGTTTATATTAATGGTAATGTAATAAATACATTGTGCCATAGGCATTAGCAAACTGTTAAAAATAGAGACTAAAAATACCTCTATGTAACCAACCTAAAGAATGGTGCAAAAACACTAATTTTCCTCACATTTGTGAACTGACGCATAAGCACCCAGAGTGTGAAATAACAGGATAGGAACATGGGAAGACCTTATCTGTAGAATATTCTGCAGGCAGGTTAGAGGTTAAAAATCAAACAAGAAGAGAACCTGGAATATCAAGTGTTTCCAAGGAAGTTTGACTAATAAAACATATGGATATGCATGAACCTAAGGAATGATACAGTATAAAGACAAACTATTTCAAATCTATGCTCTTTGGCTGTTTGCCAGGAGCACCCCAACTCTGGGCTTTTGTATCTTTATTCCTTAAACTTTTTTAAAATCCTGAAGAGTTACTCTGTTTTTCACACCCATAACTCTTTTCTGTCTATTTTCCAACTCTTTTTCTTCCTGTTCCATCTTGATCCCTCCCTTCTGCTGCCTTTGCTCCTGCTAAACATTCAATCTTTGCACATTCCCACATTCTTTCTGCATCTGTGTCCAATAGTAAGCCCTGATTCCTTCAGGATCAGGACAGGAACCCCTCCAGTTTTCAGGGCACTCCTGACAAAGTGGTTTTTGTCTGACTCACCCAGCTGGACTGGACTCACTGATTAGGTTACAGGGACTCAGACTCATCCCTGTGTCTCTGAGTTCAGAAAGAATGGCCCTTAATCACATAACGCACCAAAGAGCACATGACATTTCTTTCAGACCTCTTCCTGTGCTTTATTTCTTCTTTTCACTTGCCCTTTGTTTTGTCCTCCATTCTCTGCCTTGTCTGCCAAATAATAACCAGATGTCAGCAGTTTCTGCAGCAGGGAGAAAGTTTCCATGCTGGTTAGTCCAGAGAGGGAACTTTCCCCCTGTGCCATGGATCATTGTGACATCTAGCTTTGTCTCTTCAGCCCATCAAGTGGTGCTGTTAACTCATAATGCCACATTTTGTTGTATCTTGGGAGCCAAGGGAAATATGTTTTGGCTATTGGAAGCATTCCCTACAACAGTAACTCATTTAGCTGAAGACACATCCGAGTGAAATTGGAAAGTTGGAGAGAAGTTTGTGAAATGTCACAGGGTGGTTTGTGTGGATCAATGAGATTACCCTGGTCCCCAAACTCTGGCCTTGTGAACTGCCATCATATCAGCGAGGCAGCTTGACTGGGCAAGACCCCAATTGCACTCCCAACTTTTCCTAAAGAGCAGGAAGAGTAAGGAAAATGTCAGTCCCTACTTTTGTTGTGATTTGGAGCCTGGCCTGGCCTCCAGACTGGGGTAATCCATTCCACTCTATTAAAGCAAAGGGAAAATCCATTCAATCTCCACTGATACATTCCATCCCTTTTAGAAGAAGTAGAAACTGGTTAAATAGGAGGATTTTTATCTCTGTCTGAAACCAAGTTCTTAGACAAGCTTGTTATTTTGGCCTGAGGTAGCACAATGAAAGGTGGGTTCTGTTATGTTTCACACTCCTTTTTTTCTTTTTCCCAGTGCTTATAACTATATGGAAATCCTATAACATCATGTAGTTAATGGCAGGAAAAAAATATTGGTACCAGTAGTGCTTTAAATCATGAGAACTCTGCTTAAACAAATTATCCTCTTCCACCCTTCAGAATACATGTGATGCCTGATGAAAGGTCAGAGCCAAACCTTTTAAACCAAAATAGAAAATAGGTTTAAAGACTGTGCAACCCTATTCCTTTCTTATTACTTTTGACTTGCTTTATAGGAGACATGAAAGATGCGGGTCAGCTCTTCAATCTGAGAACCTTATCATGTCAGATTGCCTTTAAACCCTTTTATTTGTGTGGAGTTATTTAATTTAGGTAAGAAATCCTATAGCATTTCTCCAAACCATAAGATTCTTTCACGTGAAATGAGGGTCTCTCTCATTCTTTGCATCCCATCCTTCATTTCTTCTCATCCTGTTCATGAATAACTGACCCTTCTCATGTGTTTCTCCTTAATGCTTACCCTAAACAGTAATAAATCTAATTATCTTCAGTGTTTGGGAGCTTGACCACTGCTGCTGGACTTTGCCTCTTATTCTTATAAGAACTTAGCTTGAAAACATTCCTCTTTTCTTTTCTCCTACCATTACAAGTTGCATTCTTTACAAAATAGTTTGGACTCTCAGGGGCAATTAAAACACAAATGCTGAATATTTCCATAGATCCACTTTTATTTTCCTGGAGACAGTAAAACAAAGCTACAGCCCAAAGGCTAAAGAGAATTCATTACTGTGCATGTTGTTATCCTCTAATGTCACCATAAATTAGTTGGAAGACTCTCCTCCCAAAATAAAGATCAGAAAGATCCTTTGAGGTTAAAGTTTTGTTACAGCAAGAAGATGTCCTGAAAGCATCCTCATTTCAGAGCCACTGCAGGCTTGGAAATACTGATACCTTGAAGGGCCCCATTTTGAATCATTTCCTTAGGCAGTGGTGAAAATAAAGAAATCAGTAATATTGAAAATGTCCTTTCTCACCCTCTCTCTAAATCCGTTCCTATTGATGAGAATTTGGAGAGCTCTCCTTTTTCCTTCTATGCCAAATACTTATCTGTTATAATGCTTTACGCCAAAGTTATAATTATAAAAATAAAATATTATAAAACACGTTCTTATTGCACATTTCCTGAGAATTGATGTAATTTTCTGTTTCACATCCCTGGCATTGTCTCTTTCAGTCAATGTTATCTAACATTTCGGTTATGTTCGGACACACAGATCCACCCAAGGAACAAGTTTTCATAAGAACAGAAAATCCTTTCTCACAAAGGCAAATAATCCAAGAAGACAGAGGTCAGGAAAGGACATTATGAGCGTTTCCAAGAGCCAGGGAATATGGAAGACTCCCAGAAAACCTGGTGCTGTTTGAAGCATTCAAAGGAGTCCCACCTGAGCTCCAGCCACTGCTCCAGGAAGGAGAGTCTCCCTTGAGGATCCACAGTCGTGTTTAGAGCCCAGTGGAGACATCCTGGACAGCCTGGAATACACCAGATACAAATGGGAAGGGAAATTTCCTCTATGGTGAGATGAAATCCCACTCTAATATCTCTAAATGTGAATGTATGGGTGAAGTTACCTCCATCTGTGTAGATCTGGTCAGTATAGCCAATATAACATGAAGAATAATTCAGCTGAAAACTTCTAGGTATTTATTTAATGATAAATACAACTTTTTTTTAGTCCTCATTGTCTATTTTTTCTATTTTTTTCTTTCTCTGGGCTTTTTCTTTTTTTTCCCCTCAAATCTTTAATGTCCTCATTTAAGTCTTTGTCTTAAATATGGTTTTGGAGATGGGGAAGTTTAAACAAATCATTTCAGTTGCACCAGCTGGTATATCTTTGGGTAATTATGACACCCAAAAACATACAAAAATCTCAGGTGTTTTTCAAGTGTTATTAAAAATCTATCCATTGTTGTGTGAAGGTCATTTCGAGGACTTTCAAAGGGCTGATGATTTGTTTTGCTTCTGATATATTTTGGTTTTGGTTTTATTTTTTAGTTTTTTTTTAATGTATAATGTAAAGCAATTTAGAGAGATCTGATTTTCAGAAAGAGTGTGAAATCCATCCATGTCTTCAATTTTGATGCCAGCATTGTTATCTTGCTGGGATCTTTGGTGGGCCCAGCATATGAAAAAGCCACTGAAAGACTTTCCCATGTTTCCATTGGCTCCAGGAATATTGGCATTCACTTATTCTGAGGAGTGTTTCTGTTCTGAATTAAGATCTTTTGTCTAGAATTTCAGATAATATCTCCAACTGAAGATAATTTTTTTATCTGAGAAAATGCCTTTAGGATTACAGTTTCAGATCAGGAACTAATAGGGAGGATAATGTACTGAAAATACAAAGATGAATTTTCTGCAGCTGTATCAATCACACAGAGAAGTAACTTCTTCTAAACTTTCACACTCAGGAATCACAGAGATTTTTTTGCTTACATAAAGTTATGTTACATTTCATTTGCTGTTGCAGCTATTGGTAGTGTGTTTTTTCCATCTGAATTTGTGAGAAATGCATATTGTGATCAACTCCTAGAGCAGTAATTTATATCTTTTGCAATACTGAAAAGGTAGGTGGCACAATTAGCTTCTAGGTGCTCCTAGAAATATTTGATAAGGTTCTATGACAACCTTACCTATCTGTACAGGAAATAAGAGGGGAGAATATTTTTAGTTCTAAAGGTAAAAATCAGGCAGATTTCTGTCATGGTTATTCTGCTCTTCCCTACAGTTGTGCTCTAATTAGGTGAATTTATTATCATGAGATTCATCCTGGTTGATGTTTCAGTGATGCCTTCTGGTTATTCTAGTGGTTTAAGGAAAATAAATCTATCAATATTTTCTGATAACTGAACTCCCAAAGCAATTAGTTTCATATTGTGTTCAATCTTTTCTTCTAAAAGACAAGTGTTAGCCAATTATTTTTATACTCCACATAGTTACTGTAGCAATAAAAAAAATTTCTTCATATTTTTCTTATTCTTGTTCTTGTTGTTTTTCTTCTTTTTCTTCTTCTTTTTTTTCTTCTTCTCTTCTTCTTCTTCTTCTCTTCTTCTTCTTCTCTTCTTCTTCTATTATTATTAATAATAATATTAATATCAATAATAATTAGTAATAATTACAGATGTTATTATTATTAATAATAATAATATTTAGTAACAATTACGGTTATTATTATGTAAGATCTCATTGCTGTCACTTTATTATCATGTATAAATCCTTTGGTCCCCCAATCTATGTTCAGGTACCAGAAATATACCTTTCAAGGTGTCTACTTACTGATGATCTTGCTGTTAATGCCCAAAGTTTGGATTTTTCCATGTTAGAAATAAATTGTGAGAAGCTCTCACATCTAATTTTCCTACAATTTCCTGGTTCTGTATTTGAAGAAACACCAATGTCTTGGACAGAAAAAAAAGGACTCAAGATGGTTAATATGCCTGGTAAGGAAAACATGGATCTTCTATATTTTTCCAGAATTCTCTGCTCAGTAGATTATTTCAACTCAGCATCTGCTGGACGTCTGAATCTATTATTGCCATATATGCAAAATAAATCAACAGAATAAGTTCTTAATAAGGCAAAATTACTTGTGAATTAAGAATGGGGTTTTTTCCTGCTTCAATGCAACTGCATATTTCTGAGCTACAAACCCAGATTTATACTCTTTTCCCAGAATCAAAGGAATCAACAGAAAGCAACAGACATTTCTGGGATGTGATATATCTGACATCTAAAATAGATCAGATGTGCCACGTCTGTTCCTATCCACTGGCTCCATAAAAGGAACAGAGCTGACTGCTCAGGCTCCTGCACTGCAGAATTTATTTCAACTAATTTTAGCAGTGTAATCCATTTTGAGATGCAGTGAATTAGGGGTCTGTGGTACCATATCACAGCAAAGTTGGGTGTGTAGGGTAAGGGAGAATCTTATATAAGAACACCAGATTGGGAAAAGACAAGACTTTCTGCATGTTCCCATTTTTAGGCTTGCAGCAGAAGCAGCAAACTCCGGGCTAAAGAATAAATTGCTGTGACAACATAATTCTGTTAATCAATTAGACAACTCAAGAGAAAAAAAAGAAAAAGGTGATTACCGAAAGCTGACAATGAGTTGCCTGCAGAGAAAGACATGAAAGCAAACAAATAATCCCGCCTGCCAGTTTAGCCTGGAGGGAACCCTCACATTCTCCTCTGACCCCAAATCCGAGTAGCAGTGGAACTTTGAGCACAGCAGCAAGTCCCATTGACCAGCTGTTTTCCATTGCACACAGGATTTCACTGTCCAGCCTACTGCCTCCAGCCTGAAAGACATGAGGATGTGCTTCCAGCAGTCATTCATCAATTTTTCTACTCTGCTGCAGGGATGCACAGCAGGCTGGAGGTGTGTCATTTTCTTTTCTTTTTTTTTTTTTTTTATTCCATAGCTACCCAAAATAGAGAGAATGAATGAGCTTTGTTCAGCATCCGTCGTGCCAGAACCCCAACCTGGCCCAGCGTTCTGAGGATGAGAGAGTTATAAAAGAACACATTTTGGCTGTTGTTTACCAGATAATAGAAGCCGTCACGGAGAGAGGAAATTCCGAGTGGCACTTTGCTGACAGCTCATCTCTGGCAAGCTGTCAGGTGCAGGCTCTGTGGAGCTTCCCCCGAGCAGGAGCAGAGCCCAGCACAGCTCCAGGAGCTGTTCAGAGCGAAATCCTGACCTGCAGGGCAGGCTCCCATCGACCAGCCTGATGTGTGCTAATTGTGTACCAAAAGGATTAAATTAGCAAGGCAATCGTCTGCCATTTGCTTTTCCTCCTTCTCTCTCTCTCTCTGTTTCCTAATTTGCTTGAATCATGCACTCGAGAGGAATTTTTAGACTAGGAAGCTTGTTAGCTAAAATATACTTCTCCATTCACTTGATTTCATCTGCCAAAAGCCTCAAGCAAAAGTGCAAGTAAGGACAGATAAAAGGGTAGCAATTAGAGCATATAGTGATTAATTTTTAAAAAAAAACATTTATGTGATAACGACTGTGTTTTTGTTGCCACTTATCTTTCATTATGGAAATTAGTGAGGAATGATTCCATAACTTCTGACCTCAGGTGTATGAAGACTGCAGATCCTTCTCCTTCGTGCATTTCTCCTTGTGATCTTAATGAAATAATTTTACTGCCAACTGTTCTTTCAATTGTTGAAGAACAGAGCTCCAGCAGTGAGACAAGGTTTCCTGTGGATTTGGAAAAGTTTTGGAGACTCTTCCATCTTTTCTAGAGTAAAATCAGATCAGAGACACACCAGTTTTACTCTATGATGCATGTACTTCTAAGTTTGTACATATATAAATTTGTAAATACATGCAAAGTTTCCAGTTACTGTCTTAATTTTGTTGTCTTTTTTATTTGAAATGCCAGATGAATATGGATTCTTCCACAGATAAATGAAATAGAGTGGAACAAGAGCATTAACTTAAAGGAAAGCTAATATATAGACTTCAATATCAAAAAGGAAGAGGAGGAAAACCTAAATTGCATATTTGTGAATAGACCTCACACCCCTTGACTCACTGTCTTGATTCATAGTGTCCTACCTATGGGTAAAGAGTGATGCTGAAATGTTCCATTTTTCCCTCTAAAAAAAGCATAAGAAGGAAAATGAGGTGAAATCAGAAGGAAAGAATCATTCTCTTGATATTTTAGCTATGTTTTCTATCTCAAATTTGATGAGAGACTGTCAGTAAACAGAGTCTGAAATACTTGAAGCACAAAGACTTTCATTTTTTGTAGAAAACAGCTGTGAAACACAGAGATCTGCCTGGACTGGAAGAGCCTTGTCTCAGACACTGCTCCCTGCATTCCACCAGGGGTTTTTCACACATCCAGCATCTGATAGAAAGGCAGATTAGCAGCGGGAGGACCTTGAAGGGAGTTTCTGGATGGTGTTGGTCAGAGCTTATTTATAAAATGCCAGAGGGGCCAACCAGGGGTGATGCTGTTTTGGAGCTGGGAAAAGCTTCTGGGAAATGTGGCTGCAGCAGTGAAGATGAGATGATTGAGTTGATGGAGTGGAAGGCTGGGAAGGCAAGCAAAAGAAGAAAGAGTGGGTTTTAGGAGAGCAGATTATGATTCCTGGCAGAATTCCCTGAGAAACTTCAACAGGAAAAAGGCAAGAGAATCAGAAGTTTTTCAAAGAAATCTGAGGAACAAATTATGAAGGAAGTTTGAGAATTTCAGCAGAGGACCCTTGTGGCTAAGCCAGAGACTTTCCAATGACCAAAATCCATCCTTGAAGGTTTTCAAGGTTTGGCCAGAAAAAATAATTCTGTCTCTACCTAGTGTTGAGAGTATTCCAACTTCCAGTGAGCTGCTGAACAAGAGACCTCCACAGGTCCACAGCTAGAAATTTCTAAGGAAACAGAATCACAGAAAAGATGTGGAAAAGGTTGGAAAAGACCTTTAAGGTGATCAAGTCCAAATGTCCACCAATAAACCATGTCTCTTAGTGTCACATCTGCATTTCTTTAAAACACCTCTGGGGATGGTGACTCCACCACTTCCCTGGGCAGCCTGGTCTGATGCTTGACAGGCTTTTCAGTGAATAAATTTTACCTCGTATCTCATCTTCCCTACCCTGGTGTAACTGAAGGCTCTTTCCCCTTGTACCATTACTTGTTACCTGGGAGAAGAGACTGATATTCCCTGATCCTCCAGGCTGAGCCCCCCCAGCTCCCTCAGCTGCTCCTCACCAACCTCCTCCAGACCCTTCCCCAGCTCTGTTCCCTTCTCTGAACATTTTCCAGCCCCTCAAAATTTTCCTTCTAGTGAGGGGCCCAAAACTGAACCCAGAATTAGGTGTGCAGCCTCAGCATTGCCAAGTACAAGATTCTTTTCCTTTTTCAGGTGCTGGTATTAATGTCAGCACCAATTCAGTATTGGAAAACCAGGGAGGCATCCAGAAAATATCATTTACATGTTCATGCTTATATAAGAACACTTGATTGATAGCTGTGTTGATAAGCTGATGTGCTTAATATATGAGAAAAGTAGATCTTTAAATGTTTAATATAGATAAAAGTGTGTTCCCATCCTTTTTTTTTTTTTGCTGACTTCTCAGTGAATTGTCCTGTGGTGGAACCAGGGTGTAAGCCTGTGGAGAATTCTCCTGTGGAGAATCCAGGGCACAGCTCAGGATGGAGGGTGTTCGGTCAAGTTTCTCTCCATCTGAATAACAAGTACAGTCCCACTGTACCTGCTTCTGCCCTCACTGTGGGTTCTGAGAATGGGAGAGTCAATCACATGTCAGGAATGATTTAGATAAAGTTTGACCCTGCCTTAGGTCAGAAACGTGGAAGAGATGGTCTTTTGAGTTTCCTCCAGAGGGCTGCATCCACGAATCTCAGTTTCTGCTATTGCATTCCTGTGATTTTCTATGAATATTAAACTGCTGTTGAGGTCCAAGGCATATTGAGATAAAAAATAACATTACTGGAGGGTGATTCAGTCCATCCTAAACAGAGCTGAGAATTTTTCTAGAGGAAGTGGGTTAGGGGGAATAGATCTGAAAAAGATTCCCCAGAAAATTGATTTCTCAGTTCATCTTCTTAGCAGGAAGCCATGGAGATGGATTGAAATCATTGGGATAAGTTATTATTTTTTTGCCATCACAAGTCTTTTGATGTACTGAAGATAAAAAAGGGGCCTTGTGACTAATACACTTTTCCCAAAACAATGAATTCTCAGGTAGCAGGAAGGGTGGGAGCTCCACAAAGAAAAAAAAAAAAAAAAATCAGTGTTTGTCATCCTCAAAATAATGAAATAGTAGGTTTATGATATCAAAATTACATATCAGTTTGGATTTGTTGGAAACAAATTCTTAATTCATTAAATTATGATTAAAAGGAAAGAAGAAAGTGACACACACACAGGGTTGTGTGCCACAGTTTTTATTAGTTAGATTTTCTTTAACAACAAAAAGGAAAGTCACATTTTGATATCATAACAGAGAGGTTATTTCCCAGAATAGGAAATATACCACCAGTGTCCTTATCAAATACAGGACTCATATAAAAAGTTATACAAATTTCTATGATGGTTTTTAGTCTCTTCAGCAATGGAAGATTTGCATTGCTTTAAAATGCATTATATTCTCAGAAGTTTCTCCTCCCAGACTGAAATCTTACATTAATTCATGCAAAAGCAATTTTCAAATAAGCCAGTCCATGGTTTTGGGGTGCACAACACTAATCTGAATTGCAACCTCTGCCACTTATTGTGTAAGAATAATTCTATTTTGAACAAGTTGCAAAAACCTTGTAAGAATTTTGCCTCGAAAATCCAGCTGCTGTCAAACTAGGCGCCATACAGGTGAATTTTCTGGTGCACCAACCAAGATAATAATAATTTCTGGAAGTATAAGTAACGATCTGTTGCATTTCAAAAATCTATAAATATTATTTTAATGGATGTGGACCCAAAAAAAAATATTTTTCACCAGCTGCATCTGTCTAAATTTCACTGGTTGGTCTTTGAGAAATTGCATCAGACACTCCCTGCAGTCAGAGCAGACATAAAAAAACATCCAGGACTGAATATTTCATTTTCCTTGGCCTGTAAGTCCAGGCAAAGGTAATTTAGAGAAGCTCCAGCTTTGCCCCAGTTCCATTTGGTATCTTCTGAGGCATCAGGTGGGGCTGGGAGCAGCTGGATGGGAATATCTGCAGAGAGAAATGTCCCATCTGTGCGTGAACTTCAGGCTCCTTGAGCTCTGGGACTTGTAAACATATTGAAATAAATTCCTGTCTTAGACACTAATCCCTGGCATTATTTCCCGTGTATTATCTTGTCTGGAGTGTAAAACTCAATCCTCGATTTTTTCTCCCCACTTGGAGAATATCATTAATGCTAATTGTGAACTTGGCTGTGATTGCATATTGCTTAGTGTGATGCTAATGAATTTGAATAGTAATTGGTACAATATTGAATTAGCATCATATCTCGGAGACCATGGAGAATTGAACCCTAAAGCTTTCATCATCCCTTTCTTCTCCTTTTACCAGCCGGGCCTCGTGGCTTTTCTGCTTTTTTGAGAATCATTTAACAGGCTGCTCTCTGCCCAGCTGAGATGAGATCAGCACTGCTAACAAGAGCACTCCAAGACCTTATTACCACCTAAATATAGACTGCTTTAAAATCAGAATGAGTTAAGGTTAGTGCTGTCCTCTGGGATATATAATTGTTGTTGCTATTAATTAATTTATTTATTTATTATGTTCACAGAATCCCAGAGTGGGTCAGGTTGGAAGGCACCACAGTGGAGTCACCTGGTGCAACCTCCCTGCCCCAGCAGGGTCATCCCAGAGCACAGGGCACAGAATTGTGTCCAGACAGTGCTGGAATATCTCCAGGGAGGGAGACTCCACACCCTCCCTGGGCAATCTGTTCCAGTGTTGAAATATAGATCATGCACAGAGCTCAAAAACCTCCCACGTCCTCTGGGGTGGCTGAAGCAAAAGCCAAGTTAAGTGCACAGAACGTAAGAACAAGATCAGTGTGAAGAATTTTCCCGTGAAGGAGCGAGGCCTTCATGCACACACCAGAAAAATTCCGCGCTTTGGCTGGAAATTTTAGAAGCTTAAGCAAAAAAAATAAGTTGTTTGGTAATTTAAAGATTTTGCTTTTCTATTTTAAACCTAACTATCTACATGAGAATAAAAGATCAGTCATTTTGATCAGTGACCCTCTGCAGGTTTAGGTGAAGAAGTAAATTAGACAGAGATGAAAATATATAGAAATCAATTATAATCAGATATAATTTTAAAAATAG